TCAAAGTTTTGACCATAGAATGAATGTTCTTTTGAATTCAGAACTTGCGTATTAAAAATTATCAGAGAAAAAGGAGGGGAAGCAGGGCCAGAAGTGCATCCCCATTTGTTAAGGTAAAATTATTTCTGGATACATGATTAGGTATGGTTAAAACACTTTCAAAACATTATTAGGGGGCTGGTGTTGTTGTACAACAGAAGATAACAATAGTATTCTGGGCAACCAGGCGGTCACCATGGCAATCAAACCCCAGCCCTCCTTTAATGCCTGTCAACACAACACAAAAAAACCAGTGTTTGAAATGGTTAATGTAGTACTCAAAAGTTGGCAGTTAAGCGAGAGGGGTGGGGAGTGTAAACCCTCCATGCCCCCCTCCCTTCTGAATCTCATTTGTCAAACCACAGCCTTATCAATCTTAGGAAGAGAGGTGGCAATTTTCACTTTAAATTTATTATTTGATTTGTTAAAAGGGAATAATTAGTCATAATCTTTTAAAGTTAAAATGCACTTTGTGCAAGTTATTCCCCTAACTTGCTTACTCTGACAACAGAATGATATTCAATGTGATTATTTTTAGTTATATCTTCTGTTGGATTTTTCAGTAAAGTTGCATCTTTGGTTCTATCAGTAATGAGAACCTTTCCAGAAAGGCATCGGGTAAGAATTCGTTTTATTTAGTATATGATAAATGAATCACGACAAACAGTAATCTACCATCAAATACACTCTATTATGTCTTGATTCTGCTTGATCTTATGACAAAATGACAGAGCAATGAAACATCAGAAAATAACCAGAGCAGAATTAATGTGTTCATTGACTGAGTGCAAGGAACAGACAGGAAATTCTTATATATATACAGCCTCATGCCAATATTTTCCTGGTCTGCATAACCTAACTCAATCACTCAGTGTTTGTCATGATCATTGCCCCTTTTCTTTCTTTCCTTAGCTTTTGTTGATCTGTATGGTAATTTTGTGGACACCACAAGTTTATGAAAAAGCAGTAAGTAGGAATGATTCAAATATTGTAAATCATCTCCAGAATGTTAAATGAATAGTGGCTGTAGAATATGGGCTGAAAATTTAGGGCAGTATAACTGTCATGAGATGTATGTCACAAAATAGAGTTAGGAAGCAATAACTTTTATTTTTACTCTCCATACATTCAACTACTTTGAAGCATCATGCTTGGTTATGGATGCTCTGTGCAATTTCCATGGTAACCAGGATATTTGTCAGCGGGCTATAAAGCTATGTGCAAATCTGTGTGCTAAGGTATTGCAGTATACAGAACTAACAAATCCCATAAAAATTGCATTTTTGGACAGATTCTTTGCTCAATTTGACACTCAAATATTGGAAAAGCATGAGAAGCATCCATTATTCAAGATGTTTGCAGGAACTAATAAAAGGGGAAATGCTAATGAAAGTTTGGATAGATGCTACAATCTGAACAACTCCACATGCACCTACCCCTCCCCTAACCCAACATTGACTTGACTTGTCATCAGTTGGCTGTTGGTGGTTAGGGGAGGGGTACGTGTGTAATTGCTCAGATACTGACATTGACCCAAAATTTCATTAGCATTTCCCCTTGAATTAGTATACCTGCAGACATTTTGAATAGTAAGTGCTTCTCCTGCATAAATATGTACTTCCTCTTCCTTCCCCTCCTCTCTCTCTCTCTCTCTCTCTCTCTCTCTTTATTGTTAAGTTACCTTGTTCACCAAATTAGTAAACTCTTTCATTCTCAGAAGTGATTCTCATATAACTTCTTCCTATAATATCCATACATTATCCAGCAAACAGATGACGAGAGTGCTCAAACTTATCTGGTAGAAGTTATTTATATTGATCGAACACCAAATTCCTGCATCTAATTTTCAAGGAAATGTGTAGCAGCCAAAGGGGAGAATTAACAATCAGATCTTTGAGTCTGCAAAGATATGCATGTCTAGACAATTTTTTTAATGACTAAAACTATTAACTCGAGTGGTTCCCTGCTGTAATTTGAAGTATCTAGGGTTACTAATTAAAGGCTTTTCTGATTCCACACCTGTGCAGCTGACTCAGCAAGAAAAACGTGCTCTTGGCTCAGAGAAAAACCTTATGGTAAGAGACGTAACATATTAATCAATAAAAATAAATTCTAAATTCATTTAATTAGCAATTCTTATTAATCAAAGTAGCATTTTTTGGCATGATAATCAGGTATTTAAATATCTCAAGTTGTGGTTGATTAAATTACAGTTCAAAGGCCAAAGGAATTTTGTTTTCATTCCTACTAATATATTTCTTATGAAAACCCTGCATAAGTGAAAAAAATTCATTTGAGAATGTTGTTTCTTAATCATATTTTTCCTTGTCAAAGGGAAAACTCTTGTCTATATGATGTTTTGAAAGCCTTAGGGTTTTAAATTAATCTAATTCTTTTTAATTCCATTTGCACAGCTTCTTCTCACTCAAATGGAAAAACATCCGAATGATCTCACCACTCAAATAGCAGCTATGTAAGTTATAATATTCACAAAGATTGATAATATTTATTAATATTCATTGTTTTTTAAAAAACAAATTTTCCAAAAATTTTTATTATTATTTTTAAAACAAAGTTTTGACCCTTGTATATAAACATTACAATTTATTAACATTTTTTGGATGTTCTTTTGAATTCAGAACTTGTGTAGGTAGCATTGTCATAGCAAGAGGAAAGGAAGCAGACCCAGAAGTGCATCCTCATTTCTTAAGGTAAATTCTCACTGAATACTTGATTAATTATGTTTAAAATACTTCCAAAGTGGTATTGGAGGGCTGGTGTTGTCTGGTGTTGTCAAGCAACAAAACATAGCAACAGCTGTCTTGGCAACCAGGTGGTCACCCTGGCAATCAAGCTACAGCCCACCTTTACGCACCTATCAACACAACACAAAAAATACCAGTGTGTTAAATGGTTACTTACTCAAAAGTTGGCAGTTGGGATGGGGGGGGGGGGGGGGGGGGGGAAGGAAGGGGAGAAGTGCAAACCTTCCATGCCCCCCTGCTACATCTCATTGGTTAAACCACTGCCTTGACAACCTGAGGTAGAAAGGTGGTTAATTTTCACTTTTATTATTTGATTAGTTAAAAGTTAATATTTAGTCAGAATCTTTTTATAAGTTAACATGCTGTTTGTGCAAGTTATGCCCCTAACTTGCTTACTCTGATGACAGAATGATTCAATAATGTGATTATCTTTAGTTATCTTCTGATTGACTTTTCAGTAAACTTGCATCTTTGGTTCTATCAGCAATGAGAACCTTTCCAGAAAAGCATCTGGTAAGAATTTGCATTATATATTTATGATAAATGAATCAAGGCAAACAGTAATCTACCATCATTAAGACTCTCTATTGTGTTTTGATTCCGCTTGAATTGATATCTTATGATAAAATGACAGAACAATGAAACATTAGAAAATAATCAGAGCAGGATTAATGTATTCATCGACTGAGCACAAGGAACAGACAGGAAATTCTTACATAGCCTTATGCTAATATTTTCCAGGTCTGCCTAATCTAACTCAATCACTCAGTGTTTGTCATGAGCACTGCCCCTTTATCTTTATTTCCATAGCTTTTTCGGTGTATGTCAATTTTGGGGTCAAACCAAGTTTTCACAAAAGCAGTAAGTAGAAATGATTCAAATATTGTAAATTTAATCTCCAGTGCATTGAAGGAATATTGGCTCTAGAATATGGGCTGAACATTTAGGGCAGTAACTGTTAAGAGATGTATGTCACCAATTAGAGTTGGAAACAAATAACTTGATTTTTACTTTGCAGACATTCAACTACTTTGAAGCATCATGCTTGGTTATGGATGCTCTGGGCAATTTCCGTGGTAACCAGGATATTTGTCAGCTGGCTATACAGCTATGTGCAAATCTGTGTGCTAAGGTATTGCAGTACAGTACAAACAAATCCCCAAAAAATTGCATTTGTGGACAGATTCTTTGCTCAATAGGACAAGCAGGAGAAGCACTCATTTTATCAAGATGTTTGCAGGAACTAATTAAAGGGGAAATGCTAATGAAAGTTTGGATAGATGCTAGAATCTGAGCAACTCCACACCTACCCCTCCCCTAACCCAACATGAATCCCTAACTTGTCATCAGTTGACTGTTGTTGGGTGAGGGGAGGGGTAAGTGTGCAGTTGTTCAAATTCTGGCATTGATTCAAACTTTCATTAGCATTTCCCCTTGAATTAGTGCCTGCAAACATCTTGAATAATAAGTGCTCCTCTTGCATGAATAAAAACTTCCACCCCCTTCCCCCCTCTCTCTTTTAATTGTTAAATTACCTTGTTCACTAAATTAGTTAACTCTTTAATTCTCAGAAGTGATTCTCATATAACTTCTCCCTGTAATATCCTTACATAATCCAGCAAACAGTTAACAAGAATACTCAAACTTATCTGCATGGTAGAAGTTCTTTATCTTGATCCAACACCAAATTCCTACATCTAATTTACAAGGAAAAGTGTAGCAGCCAAAGGGGAGAATTAACAATCAGATCTTTGAGTCTATGAAGACATGCATGTCTGGACGATTATTTTAATTATTAAAACTATTGGTTTAAGTGGTTCCCTGTTGTAATTTGAAGTAAGTATCTGGGTAAAACTAATTGAAGGCTTTTCTAATTCATACCTGTGCAGCTTACCAAGGAAGAAAAATTTGCTCTTGGCTCAGAGAAAAACATTATGGTAAGAGACATAACATATTAATCAATAAAAATCAATTTTAAATTCATTTAGCAATTGTTATTATATCAAAGCTGCATTTTTTGGCATGATAATCAATTATTTAAATATCTCAAGTTGTGGTTGATTAAATGTGTCTTCCAATTATAAACTAGGTCTTTACTAATCATGCAGTTCATTTTAAAAATACAGACCATGTTTAATATTATTCAAGAAAAGATCAGTGCAAGACAGGTATGGATCAGATAGAATTTGCAACACTATAATGAAATGATTTCATAATACAAATGTCATTTTTTTTAATGGAGCAAGTAGATTAAAGAAAGATTAGGTTAGGCCTTGTGCACTCAGGGTCATCACTATTTTGGTTTATGCTGTATGATATTGTTGCAATGCCTTTGAGCAGAATTTTTTTCAGTTTAAGAGATATGATCATCACAATAAAGGAACACAAAGCTAGCACATTTTCTAGAAATAGAAAACATGGGAAAGCCAAGACTTGAATTAAGTTAAACATTTTTTTAAGGTTACTTGATCTGTCAATTCAAATTAGCTGCTTTCATAATTATTATAATTATATTTTCTCATTTTCTTTATCTCAGATGACTTGTGATAATTTTATCCAAGATTGTTATAACCAATATGTCCTTATAAGAAATTGTTCTCTACCTTTTCATCATCAATAATAATTATAAATGATATTTTAGATTGCTTTATGCAGTCTGTTTTTTTTCTAGGAGGATCTCACATTGAGCAATGCATTTACTGTTCTAAAGGAATTAACTGGTATGCAATGTTTTAATATCTTTGCAAAATTTTACTTTGAAAAGAGATTTATGAAGAAAAAAGTTTGCAATTGCATGTAGCTGGTTGAGCTAAACTCAGGGTGTTATAGCAAAGTCTTTTGTCATTCACTATGACAAAGGGCTAACACTTTATAGTGGTCAATTTACATTATTAACCCTGTTGGAATAGTAAATTACTACAGTTTCTTTAGAACTTACTCCCTTCACTTGAGCTAAACTCAGTTTTCAGCCCAAGGAGTGATCAGGAGACTGGTTCTCCAAGTAGATAGGATGTTGGCTCATTGCAAGTTACCCACCCACCCCACCCTCCCCTGCCATTTTATCTTTTTCTGAGAGTTTTTCCAAGGCATTATGATATTAGAGTTCAGTGCCTTTCCCTAGAATACAATACAATGACCCTTTCCCGAGTTCAGCAAACCAGGAGTAAGGCTCTTTCCATGAGCTGTCCAGATAAAAAAATAGTTCTTTCTGACATTTACAGAGGAGACACCGAGCACTTGTTCTCTGTTTGTTGAGAAAGGAGGTTTTCAATTGATGGTGCAAGGCCTGAAGGTATACAAGAACATTCTTTTCTAGAAACTGTCAAGTAAATTCAAACAAACTGCCAGGAGGCTGTGTGGCTGAGTGGTTAGGGTGCTGGACTAGTAATCTGGTCATCCTGGGTTCAATTCCTCTACCCTGCCATTCATTGGATTTGTTCTCAGTCACCCCAAGTTGAACTCCCCAGCTGTGCTGTGTAAATAGCTGATTGGCCTGCCTCCTGGCAGTTGGAATTTCAAGCACTGTATGTTTTATTTCAGTCACTGTAAAGTGCTATTGAATAGCAATAGAAATAGCTCAACGTTGTCCACCACACAGTATCAAATAGCAACATGCATACAGCACAACAGAGTTCGAGTGTTTTTAAGTAAATATGTTTAAGGTTTTAACAGCTCCCACACACCCCTCATCAACAAAACTGGGATCAGACAGGATCAGATCATGGATCAGGTCATGGATTACAGATGGGGTCATCAGGATCGCACCACAGATTGAAAAAGAAAAGTTTAGAAAAGTAAAAATCAGATCATTTAAAAAATAATAATACTTAAAATATGAGATTAAAAAACCTAAAATATAGTAATTAAATGAGAAATGTTACATGACAAACTAAAATAAAGTTTGCATAACATAATGGAGCTTAGGCCCCACTGGAAGTTTGTGTCCATGACCCAGTCCAGCCCAATCCAGATTTTGTTGACACTGCCACACACTTACCCAAGTGCTAACCATAGGCATAGTGTTGCCAAATATAGTATGGTTTTACTTCTTAACAATGCAGTTACAGTCAACAATTTTATGTTTAATCTGATGCATTATTAAATCAACTCTAGGTGTTCAGAGAAGGAAGCCAAGAGAAAAATTTTGGAATCAAAAATGATCTTCTTATGGAACTGGTAAGCCATTAAGAAAAGCCTATTAAGCACAGGTCTACCACAAGGCTAAACAATCCTGCTCTGAGTTTATCATTGATTCTAAAGTCATTGTGTATATGGTTTCCAGAGATAACATTTAAGTCTTCTGTGATGAACAGTTACAGAAAAGTAGAAATGGGAAGCTAAATATCATGCACCAGGAAAGAAAAGGCAATGACAGAGCATTTAAAAACATTTCATGCCTTTGTTAATCTAACTTTACCATAGGAACCTAAGCAATAACAAATGAAAACCTCACAACTTTCTGCATGACCACTTAACTCAGGCTGCCAATTTGAAAACCTTTGACCCTTGTTTGCCAAAAACTTTTGCCACTTGCCATGGCTTCCAAAGTGATTGCAGCTTAGAGGATCGAGTGCCACAATTTTCCATAACAATTATAAGGCCTTTAACTTAAAGATTAGAATCACATGTGTCTCTGAGGGTTTTTTTTCCCAGATTGTGGAAAATGTCTTAGCAACTACAAAAAGGAATTAGTCAATAGCCCAATGCAGTTAAATTCATTTTGATCCTCATTATTTTGTGTTTTAGAACATAATAGCTGAGGTTCCAAGTCTGAGGCATTTACTCATCACAGATGAATTCATGAATCTTATAGGGTAATGTCTTTTTCTGTTTGACAAATAATGTTTGAAAACAACTTAGGAATATTGAGTTTGTTTGCAACAAATTAAGGTAGCTTTGAATCTACACATCAAGTGATTTTTCAAAGCTGTGCAACAAGATCTAATTCAACAAGTGAGACTGAAAGGCACTTGAAGCTTATTAAAAATTAAGCTAATAAGTGTTTTTAAGAGCATGAGGCTGTTAATAAAAGTAGTTTGGCTTTTTTAACATTTTTAATCAAGAAACTCTTTAATTTTCTTTCTAAATTTTCTTTATTTATCCAAGAACTGATAATTATTATTAGTTAATGAAAAAAAAATCAGTCTTATGCCATGGATCTAAAGTGAAGCTGAATTCCTGTCTTATGTAGGTCTCTCCTGGATGACGGGCTTCTCCAATTGTCCTATTTTTGTGGTGGAATTTTGTCCAATGTTATGTTGGAGTGGTCTGATGATAGAGAGCTACTTTCATACAGCAAACAGTATTTACTTCATAGGCTGGTATATTTCAGCAGTCTTACATTAAGGCATGGTTGCAAATAGACAATAGCAGGCTTTGAATACTCCTCTGTAACAAATTGATGTTTTTTTTTAACATAAGGCAAGGCTGAGCAAATTTTATATTGACAGTTTGAAAATAAGAAAATTATTACTTCAGTCCCATGTACAAGTATATCTAAATGTCATTTCTAGAAAAAGGAGGAAATTTTGTACATTTTGCTCATTTTGAGCAGGGACTAGAATGGAGCAATTGAAGAAAAATTAGGGAGATGGGGGTGGGGACTTGAACTAAAAACAACACCTGCAGGTGTAAAAATTTCCATAAATTTCCTGAGGTGTTGAAAGGAGAACTTGTTTTACAATCAGGAGCTTCTTTAATTGATGATCAGTTCCTTTATTCTCATGACCTCTATGTGTGATTTGGAGGTAATATTCCAAAGAGAAATTAGATGATAGTCACTCTTGTGACAGCAACAGTGTTCAGGTAAAAATGTTGCATTTTTCTCTTCATCAGGAACAAGCTGTGAAAAGTTGGGAATTTCCTACAGACAAGTTTGTTGGATATCAGTGCGTATTAATATCTTTTTGTAAGGTTATCTTTATCAAGTACTGGTTGCTTTTTATCTTTTCATGAATAGAACAAAGACAACAAAATTGTATGATCGAGCCATAGGGCAAGTGCAGTTGGTAGTCTTTGAAAATTGCTTGTAATTGCTCAAGTGCTTATTAACCCAAACTGCATGAGAAATCATGATGTTACCTATTAATAATTTACAAGAAAAGAAGCATCACAGAAGGTCCAGTCAGGTGAAAATTTGACAGTTCACATGCTATTTTAAATTGCATTCATGTTACATGAAAAATTCACCTGTTTTCAGCCAATTAGATGTGTGTAATTTTTTTTTGTATATTATAACAGATAAAAAAATTAATCCTTATAGTGTCCTGTGAGAAGCAGTAGTTCAAACATTGTTGAAGTTTGTGTACAGTAAATATTATTGTTATCGTTTTCCTATTTTCTGTTAGGTCATTCAGATCTTTTGTCCCACTCCTTCTGTGCGCTATGCCTGCTGCACAGATGTGGGCTTTGTGGGGAATCATAAATGTCTGCATCAGCGACAGTAAGCACCACTTGATCTCAAATTGTTTGAACAGTGGCCTGGCTAATAAACAACTCAGACAGGATGATGCATTTGATTTTTGTGAGGTTGAGCTTAGATGGAAACCTCTATTTGACCTCATTGATTGTGCTCACATAAATTCCTACTCTCCCCCCCCCTTCCATTCCTTTCTATGCAGGCCAGGCAGGGTACCTTGAAGTTTGCTCAATTGGTCTTGTAATGCATAGCAAGCAAATCTAGCTATGATCATCCTAAAATTCTTGCCTGATGTACACTCAAGATTTAGGAGCTGG